CAAAAGAACAAATGGACCAGAAGGTGAAAGATATGAAAAAAGGCATAAAAATTTTTGCTTGTTTAGAAAATACAAATCATCATGACGAACATTAATTTTGTTGTACGGGGAGGGTCAAAAACACAAAAATATTTTGCGTAAGATTAAATACACCTTATTTTGCAAGATACGAAAAAAGGCATTCTTGATAAAAGTTTTTGTTTGAAAAATGAATAAGAGTCACGTTATCAAAATTTTTTTTTTTACAGGGAACAAAATACAAAACTAAAATACGTCTACTAAAGTGTAATTTTAGAATAATACGAACATAATTACAATAACTATTAAGCTAAAAAAAAGTAAACAAAGCAATATGATAAAGATATCAAATTTCAAAAACACCACCCCCATATTGAACACATTTTTGTGCCTGTGCCACACCCCGGCACAGGCACAAAATTGGATCATTTCTACCAATCCATCTTGGACCAAATCTATAATTAAGCCATTCTGTTATAGTTTTTCCGAAGTCAATTGAAGAACCTATAATTTCAAGGTATGTACCAGGCTCGGTCGCTAAGCAGCAACTCGGCATTGAAATATTTGANACACCCCGGCACAGGCACAAAATTGGATCATTTCTACCAATCCATCTTGGACCAAATCTATAATTAAGCCATTCTGTTATAGTTTTTCCGAAGTCAATTGAAGAACCAATAACTTCAAGGTATGTACCAGGCACGGTCGCTAAGCAGCAACTCGGCATTGAAATATTTGAAAAACTTGTTCCCACATTTATTTAGCCATACCCATATACAGGTCTCGTTGAACGAAACGTCCAGGTGGTAGAAATGCATACGCTCAGTTGAAGAATGAGCGTACGGGCAAAGACAAATATGCACTGTTGCTTTGGTCTATTGCGTCATAAAATTCAGTTGTCGACAAGTCGCCTGGCAGTGCAGTGCGGTAATGCGGAATTTGGTGTGATTCAGATAATTTTAATTTATTATAGGCACCCTTCTATTAATCATTCATATTACAATTGCGAAAGGGCAAAATAAGAGGGATATTTGGTTTACTAATATTATTACAACATGGCATTCTGGAGACGTTCTGAAACGGAACAATACGAAATTTACCACCAATATAATAAAATTGTTTGAGGGCATAAATAATTAAAATATGTTGTTGGTCAAATGAACATATTAGAAATTTTCTGCACATTATATACAAATTATTATAATTTTCTACTTTTAGCAGACACATTTTTTAGGGACGCCCATGAAACTCATTTAATTTGATTGCTGGGTTTTTTATGCATGTTCAACTGACTTCGGAAATACTGTACCTCACGAGCACAACCATCTTGTTGAAAATACATTCTTTGGAGAAAATGTAATGGTAAATTTTCGAGTTCAACGCTAAAAAATGTATCAAAAATTTCTAAGTACGATATTCTATTGCAGGTGTTATTGAAAAAATACCAGCCTATACATAATAAACTTATAAAAAATCAATATTTCCAATTTAAAATTTTGTCTCCTACCCACAAACAAAAACCTAGTCTTTTCTTTTCATCTCATTCTTCCAATGTTTGAGTAATGTGTGGTTTGGACGGAAATACTTTATTTTCTTTTAAAATCTTCTGAATATTATTTTTTTTCTCAACTTCTAACTGTTTAGCACGATTTCTAAGGGACATCAAAGGAGTTTCTCCAACAGACTGCAGAACTAAAACTGTGGCAGCATCGTTATGGTCATATTTCTTCTTTTTCTTTTTGAGGTTTAAAACCGAACCAGTTCATTGAATTTTTTTTATTATCTTGCAGATTGTCATCCGACTTATTAGGATTCCCACAAATAGTTCCATGACGTAGTGATATGTTACATGACCATCCCCATAATATTTTTAATACAAACCTTTTACTCAGTAGATAGCATTTTGATGAGAACTATGCAGGGGTGTGAGTAAGTACACATGTTCGCAAGTGACCCATTTTTAAGCATTACGTCAAGAGCGCCAGCAGGACGCCGCCGGACGCACCAGCGTTCCAGGAAAGGTCTACGGCGGACTGGCACCGGCGACCAGATGCGTACTCATATACCTACGACCGACTCCACACACAGGGACTCTCCAACGAACACTCACCCCGTCAACTCGTCTTTTTCCATACAACTTAGTTTTCAATAAAATACTTTATTATTACCGTTGAGAGAGCGTTTTATTTTTGCTGTACAGCGAAAGCAACCCTCACTTCATTAAATAAAGACAAATGTATCATTAAGTGTCATTATTATTTTACGATTAATGACTCTGATTAAAGGAGTGTTAGAGAATACTTAATTCAATTTTTAATAACGTCAATTTTATTCACTTTTCAAGCAAAAGCCTTTATCAAGAATACCTTTTTTCGTATCTTGCAAAATAAGGTACGTTTGCTCTTACGTAAAATAACATTTTTGTGTTTTGACCCACCCTGTGCAACAAAATTGAAGTTCGACATGGTTATTCGTATTTTCTAAACAAGTACAAACTTTTACCAAGATTGCCTTTTTTCGTATCTTTCACTTTTTGGTCCATTTGTCTGTCCTCTTATAAAGACAATCCGTGGACATACTGTATAATAATGTAAACATTAATTAACATCGTAAGTAGCACTAGGCCGTATTTGAATAAGACCACTGTTTATGTTAATTAACTCAAAAAAAAATTAAACAATCTTCGTTTCGTGTACGAAAAATAGGTAACTCTCCCGTATAAAAAAAGGAAAACTACGTCCCATTTTAGATCCATTATTCGCCAAGAATGAATTAAAGTACCTACCCAACAAAGCACCGGTTCGTTACGTAAAACCTCGTATAGACATCGATCTCGTCAGCATTTCTGTAATAGAATTTCTATAAATGTATTTGGCTTACGTTATTTCTTTTGTAACACGGCTTATAATAACTCGTCTGTACTTACAATCACACACATACCTGTTGCCTATTTTGAAATTCCTAGAGAAACTTTGTTATCCATCAGCGGATTGAACCGATTGACCTTAACAGGCCATTTTCAGTTTACGTGGATGGAAAGAAAGTTTACTTATAGCTAGTGTGGAAATTCTCGCCTCTTGATCTCCCTTTATAAAAAATATGGTTCACAATAAGATGGGACACTATTTATATTATTATTGATACTAAGAGTCGTTCCGGTAATGAATGTTGTGTGCATAAAGTAGAACTTTTAGTATATTTGTCGAGTTAGAAGTTAATTCTAAATTAGTATCTACAGGGTGTCCCGTTCATGTTTTAAAAAAACATAAAAATATATCGAAAAATATGTTCTTTTGGAATATGGAAAAATACAGGTATGTTCCTGGAGAAAATATTTCATGACGTCATCAACACGATTTTCGAAATTTCTAACTCTAATTTTTGGTGCAAAATGCACTTCAATCCATGCCGCTTGTACTCCATAATTCAAATTTTCAGTAACATTTTTCGTTACCCTATAATATCGTTGAGGACCGGCTACGAAATACTTAAAATCGCTTTTGATGTTTATTTAGGTATTTGCTGCTACTATTACTGTTTAAGGAGGTATATAGGGTTTACTCAAATGCACAGATGTACGTGAATTTTATATAGCGTATTACCCTGTGCGTCATATTTTTTTGAAATTTTTTTTAATCTACATTTTGAGATATTGTTGTTGAAAGTTGTTCATTTTAACATATGTTTATATGGCGGAGATGGACGGTGCGGCTCTTTTTTTGACCGTAACTGAGAAAAAATGTAGAAATTGTGAAACAAAACTTTTCCATAAGACAGTACACAATATTATCTTTGATGTAAAACTAATGTAAGTTTTAAACATAGTACAGCTGTATTAATTAGAAACAGAAACCAATAATTGCATTTCTGTCTGACTTGAGGATTAATGTGGCAACGTAGCAATCAGCTGACAGCAGGAGGGAATACATTTGAAAGATTTGATAAAAACGAAATTGATTTCAAACATATACATTTTTCCTAAATCTCATGTACATTGTTATCAACAGTAAATTATCCACAACAGATGATTTTTTGTAATGTTTTTAAAAAACTAGATTAATTAAAAAAGACTAGGAAGCTGTGATATATTTATTGGAATAAAAAATACAGTTAATAAATAAATTTAATATATTTAATGGTTTATAAAAACATCGTAATCCGTACCCAGCAATATTTAGTGTTACATAAAGTTTTCTTTACTTGATTAATATGATTAGTAATACTTGAGATAAAAGCATTTGTACGGAATAACAAAGGAACATAAATATTTCTCAGCAAACTTTATATCTAAAAAATTACTTTTGTAACACTACTAAAATATAGATGAAAAACACGAACAGTGAGTAATAATGTAATTTCTATCACAGAACCTTCAAAATTGCATTGCATCCTTTGACTTGGACGAGAGATGGGCGCGAGTGTCATTTCATTTCTTTAGAACTAAATTAACATAATTCTCGTTGTTTTACCAGTTCACATGATTTACGGATTTTAAATAAAGGATACAAATCTTCGCGAGGATAATACGATATATTTGCTATACATAGTTTACACACAATACATTTTTGAACGCGTACGCATCTTTACCCGAATTTGACGCGCAATATCTCCGATGTCCTAGGTCTGTAGGTTCGCAGTGTGAACAACTGCTAGTCAATTATTAGCGCTGTTGCCACATCTACATAGTTTTTATGCGTTCATTAAATATAATTTAAAACTACTTAAATATGATATTTTTATGTAGTTAATTAGTCAATATGTATGCTATGTGCATATGAGTAGATTTCTTTGCTATATAGATAATGTTTATCGCAAATAATTTGAATAGAATTTATTTTTTTTCAAATTGGCAGCGGGCTTTAGTCCCATAAGAAAAGCATAGGACCCCCTGCGCTCCTCACTTTCCTCGGACCCCGATATACCTCCTTAAATCTTACTAATTTGATCGATGACGTTTATAAATATATTTTTTTTTATTTTAGGCTGTAGTACACGTTTCCACAGCGTTTTCAAACTGTAACAGAGAAGACATCGACGAAACCTTCTACGAAACACCAATTAGTGGCGAGAAATTAATTACTCTAGTCGAATGTTTAGACGACGAAAAACTAAACAAAATTACTCCAACGTAAGTACCAATGTATAAAAATAATGATAATAATATTCGTAATAAAATCGTGGACGTAGGATCGCTTTTTTTCTGAAGACTTAGGATTTTCGACAAACTTTCGAATATTTAAAAATTGAACTTAGAGATCACCCGCTTATGGGGGACCTGAGCTGAATGTATCTAACACGTTTTATCGATATAGCGATAACGGCTTTTTTATTGGAGAACTATTCGAAAAATAAAAATAATAGTAATAATAATTCGATTTACGATTAGATAGCAGTATTAAAAGAAAATGTTCCCCCCTGCTTCCTCTATGGACGCCAATGAACATCACTGTTAATTTAAATAAAACGGCGTTCTAAAAAGACATATTTTTGTGAATTTCAGATTACTTGGTGATTTCCCAAATACATACGCCTTCACGAAGTGCGTAGCAGAAGATGTAGTAAGGGCAGAAGGGAAAAATCTACCCATCGCTTTATATCGACCTTCTATAGGTAAGCCTTTGCAACACTTAAGTCCATTTTTTATTGCATTAGCGACTTAGTTGTTGAGGATCACTTTGAGCAATATCTTTGAAAGATTTTTGTTTGATATTTATTTGCACGACCGCATTTTTTTAAATAAAAAAGATTGGGTAGAGGATAAAAATCTCTTCCAACTTGACTAATTTAAAACTGATCTAATTTGCTGAACCTTTGAAGGCGTATTCCTAAGGGAATTGGACACGTTGCATGCTTGAAAAAAATATATAATAATGATAAACGAGATGAAGAGCTTTAGTGGGTGATACTTTTTTTTCTTTTACATAGTCATCGCTACAGTGAAAGAACCTGTAGCAGGGTGGATAGACAACGTATACGGAGCCACTGGAATACTGCTTGGTGTTGCAATTGGTTTGCTCAGGACTCTTCACGCGAAGAAAGAGAACAATGCCGAACTGGTACCTGCCGATTATGTCATCAATAGCTGTTTAGCTGCAGCTTGGGATGTCGCCTCGATAAAGTATGTTTTAGAGGCATAAGTGTTTTAAGAATGTTTTTCTTACTTTCTAGTCAGCAATGTAATATTTCCCTTTTCATTGTTATTCCTTGTTTCCCTTACTCTTTTCAAATTGAACACCAAAGGTGGGTCACCAGAAAAGCATATTTTAGTTGTCAATTCTCTGTACAGGGTGTTTTTGATTTACATTATTTTTACACTCATAATTAAGTATTAATATAAACTTTATGTAGATGAGATATAAACGTTATAATACTTTAATATCATTTGTGGATATAATTTGTATTTGTTGGATTTTTCCCATTTTAAAAATATGTATATAACAGCCATATTTTAAATGTTATAAGACTAATCAAATATTGGAAATTTTCATAATTTGAGGAGCAATTCATAAAACAGTTTATTAACCTTCAAAGTTCACACTTGGTGCAAATTCAGGTTTTACCAACTTTGAACTTTTGTCTACTTTATTTGTTAACGAAAATAGCGTATTTACATCAAAACCGGGGTAAAATTTTCCAAGAAATCGAATGATGTAATTAGGTTAGAAAAAAAATAATTTGTTAATAAAAAATGCGATAATTACTTTTTTAAATTCGTATTTTTTTTATAAATAATGGCTAGAGAAAAAGTAAAAAAAGGGTTTTGAAGTTCAGTCCATATTTAAAAAAAAATACCCCATATTGATAAAATGATATCGATTTTTGAAGTTGTGATTTTTGTCTCATTTTCTATAAATTGATGTTTATTTTGCACTCCTTTGCATAAAAATATTAATATTAAATTTAAATATTATTATCCGTAAATATTGACAAATGCATGTTACTATTAAAATATTAATGAAAAAAAATATTTGAAAAAATATATTCTGGTCTATTCGACACGTAAAATGAGGTAAAAAAAGCGGAAATTTGCATTTCATTTTATCTTTTTTTTTTATTTCTAGATTGTATGATATAAATTCAGCCACACTTTTGTCCACACTAAAGTCACACTAGTGCGAATTCACACTGATTGGGCTTTCCACACTCTCTAGTTTGGCCGACAATAACAAACTGATGCCAGCTATGGTACGGCTTGATTGTTTGGGCTATAGAAGGAATTATCTTGGTGGTGGAACCTTCGGTAGCTACTACCTGCGACATGCCAGCTGTCAACAAAAACGGTGCTGCGAATTCGCACTAGTGTGACCTATGACGGTTAATAAGCTTTTATTAATATGAAACTGATAGTTTTACATTAATTAATATATCTATTATTTTTGGTAGCTGACATTCCTTCTATATTTTTACATCTTAAACTCGCAATATTTAACTGTTTTCCATTAAATTGCTTTGTTCAACAAATTAATCCAATATTTTTTCAATTCCTAGAACACTAAACGATAACAAAGAGACTCAGGATAAATTGAGCAGAGAAGAAAAATTCGACAAGGAAATACCCGTCTACAATTTTGTTAGTTCACCACAAAGTCCACTTACATGGGGTGAGTAGGGTAACTTGTAAACAATACAACGGGATTATAGACGAAGGCAAATATGAATAAGGATTAGTAATTAAGAAAACCGCTATGGAATACTCTTCTATTTTATTGTAATAAATAAAGTAATAAGTTCCAAAAGGTTGTTGCAACACCGCTATTACACCCATGTTTTATAACATTTAATAATATCTTAATAGATAATAAATTAGTAGTAACATTTTTTATAAATATTTTGCTGAATATTTCGTGTTTTTTTTCCAGATGATTTCCAGAAACTGTCCACAAAACACTGCGTGCAAATACCATCGGAGAAGGTGGTGTGGCACAGTTACTTCCGAATGATATCCAACAAATATCTAAACCTGATAGCTGTACTTGTTTTACATAACATTCCCGCCTACGTTGTCGACTTTATAGCAGTCTGCCTGGGAAAGAAGCCAATGTAAGTAAACATGTGCTTTCATCTTACTCAATTATAGGGTACAAATACTTATACACCAGGAAAATTAGCGAAAATAAAAGAGAAACTCGAAAAAAGTCCTATCTGCGATATTATTGTATAATTGTCTAGAGGAACATAATACAAGATATTACAAAAATACAAAAATTTACAGCGCGCATCAATTTGAACTTTGGATTTGACTTTTATCGCGCGCGCGACTCGCTTGGACGAGCTTCCCCCACCACCACGCCGGACATTTTACTTAGCAAGTATCTTCTCTTTAAAGGGCTCGCGAGTCGTTAATTTTCCACATTTTTTAATGTAATTCACGGGAAATCGTAGTTTACATCGTAAACTTTATTTTGCGAAAAATTCAAGTCTTAATGTTTATCTCCTGTTGGTCGTAGAGGGTGCTTTTTTAAATTGTAATTTTTTTGCCAACTATCCATTGAATCTATTTTAGGTGAGGTAGTATAAATAGCAACAATTTTATTCAAATTGTTTATAAGCGAAAAACGCATGTTTTTTAATGCACAATTTGAAAATGTTAATGTCAAGAAACCGGTGATATTTTCTAATAAGTCGCTTAATTACGTCTTTAAGATTACAATGACGCTTTCAGAATCATGTTTGGTTGAAAATTAACGCCTGTACAGAGGCTTAAAGTTCATAACTTTTGGAGCCTGCGTTATAAACAAATTGAATTTTGTGAAAACTATTGCACCTACAGCGCCCACTTTTGGCACACTTTTAAAGTATAACAAAACCCTCAACTTGTCATAGGTTTTATAAAATTTTAACAATAAATGCGATGGTTATAAACAAATTAAAAAATGGGCACTTTTCTTGTTTTTTTTGCAAATAACTTTTTTGTTTATTAACCGATTTTAATTTAACAAGTCTCATTTTGTAGATAATTTTATTCCCTACATGCTGTCTGTGAGTCACTTTTCGCTAAAATTGATGGTTTTCCCTGCAGTGTGAAAAACTATTTTCCTCACTTATTTGTTTAAATAGAAAAGTTAGCTAATAAAATTTTTTGACTTCTGTTTAATTTATTTATGAACGACATCAACGTATATTAACAGCATTACACTGATGCATGCCAATTGTTTGGAATTGCAGTGATATAACAAAGATTAACACATGGTATAAAGCCAACTTTTTGCCAATTAATACCAAGAATGTTTTTGCATTTCATTTCCCAAAAAAAAATCATTTTACCTGTATTGTGCATATAAAACTGATGAGATATTTTAATCAAAATGTAACCAATTCAAGGATTTCAGTGTCATGTTTGACTCCAAACAAACTTTCGTCAGTCACATTAATCACATCACAAAAAGTTCTTGGTTCGTTATAAACTCATTTATTATCTACCACAAGCTTAAAGATGACTTTTTTATTCTGTTTTATTTAAACTTATAAATGGGATAATTATAATATTTAAATTTTAATATATTGAGTTGCAGAGTATCCCTCGAGTGTTTATTTTATTTAATACACCAAGGACTTCTTCAATTTGCATAAATAGGTGCTGTATCAACATTTTTTTGACATTTTTTGTTATAATACCACTGTATAAAACGATGAATTCTCAACTTTAATTAAATCCGTTTCTATAGGTATATGTATTTATTTTTAGACTTTTTTAAAAGTTTTTGTGCACTTATGTATATTTGATATTTTGTTTATGTTAATTTTAACTGTCATGTAACTGATCACTAGCCTAACTTGGCAGTTGACATCAAATAAATAAAGGTAGGCAGAGGTAAATAAGTATTGAATATGTGTAAATTAATTTCTGTGGTGACGATAGGTAATATTCTGTCAAATTTTAATGGTGGTTTTTGTCACAAACAGTTCTTATAAACATGTTTTCGAGATGCAGGATGCTGAAATAAAAAGAAAAATCACGTGTTTAAGTATCTCTTAAATAACTATTAACGCAGATGCAGACGCAGTGATTATATCCCGTCAGTCCGCTGCAAAATAGCCGAATGATTTCTCCCTTCAAGGTATCGTTAATTATGCGCATGCTGACCAATGAACAAGTACAATTAGCCGGTAACCGTAGAACATGCACCAGTAAAGGTAATTGTTAATTGCAAAAAAATTATAATATTACAATTATATTTACACGTATGCCGAGCATACTAAACGGTATTTTAGCAGCAACAATTAATCGGAAAACGGTCGGCATACTGGCAGAGTGGAATCGAAGATTCGGGCGAGTCGTTATTTTTCAAAATTTTAATTTAAAATCGAGGATAACTACAAAACTATTCATCTCACAAAAAAATACAATGTAATTATAAGTAAAAAAAATCATGAACGTAGCAATTTTAAATTCTTTAGGGGATTGTAGATAGATAGATAGATAAATTTATTAACTACTTTTTATACAAAGAAGTACAATTGTAGTAAGTCAAACATATATCAATAGTAAAAAAAAGAAAAATATTAAAAATCAATAATGCACAATGTATAAAACAAAAAATAACAGATTAACAAAACTTACATAACGGCAAAAGTACAGTTAAAATAATCAAGACAAGCAATAATTAAAAATTTAAAAACATGGTGGTAGCACTCAGATACTCCTGCACCGAATAAAAAAAAAAGATATTTCCTGATACTTTTAAATTTACAAGAGTTTAACTCTTTTACGGCATCAGGTAAAATATTGTAAAGATTTAGCTGAGGGATTAGTATCTTTCAGAAAATTAAAAATGGTTATACCAATGATTTTTTTTTATATTTTTCATAACTAAGTTGTATTTCCAACAAAAAATTGCTAACGATTTTTTTCATGTGGTGAATAGCCTCGTTATTTTCGATTTATTCAAGTATGGCATGGTCATTTTAATTCAGCAACACTTTTTATTGATTTGTGACGACCAATCTGTCACTAAAGTATGGCAGAGTGTATCATTAACACCCTGTATATTCATGGAGAATTCACGAACAAAAGAGAGTTACACATATTTGCAAGTACACATAAAAAGTTTCTATAAAATGTTGATTAAAATTATAGAATAAGCAAGCACAAGAAAAGTAAAGTTAATTAATAAACTACTTAAAAAGTGGCTTCTAGTAAGTAGAAGACTGATGATGTGGTATGAACCATATGTAAGAAGAAGAAATTGATGAAAAGTTCAAAATCTAGTGTTTCATAATGATGTGCAAGGTGTTTAAAAAATAATTTTGGGGGGGTATTTCCAATTTTTTTTTATTTGAGCACTCCCTGAGAAAATATTAAAATCTCAAAATGCCGAAAAATTAGCTTTTATTTTTTTTTATTAAATGTTTAATTCATATTTGCTTAGCTTTTCCTATTGATAAAAAATAATTTTTGCAAAAAGCATGTCAAAAATGACAATCGTTTTTGGTAACTGTCATACTAATTATGTCGGCAAGGAAAATAACTTATTTTTTTGCTCGTAAACCATTAAGTATACGAAAAAATGAGGAGAGTTCTAAATGAAATGTAGTATTAAAAGCTATTTTTTTGTTGGAATTGATTAACATAGAAAAAAGTTGTGAGAGAAACAAAACCAAGGGGTGCTAATTTCTTTGATTCAGACATAAACCAGAAAAAAAAACTACCAAAAATACTATTCAACTAGTTGTGTGTACCAAAATTGAAATTTCTAAGTTTAACCGTTTTCGTGAAAAAAAATAAAAGCTAATTTTTTCTGCCATTTTGAGATTTGAATATTTTCTTCCCCTAAAATTACTTTGTAAACACCTCCTTAAAATATTTCCACATCATTGTGAAACACCCTGTATATTTAATTTTTTGAATAATTACAAAGCTTAATATTCCTATTTCTTTACAGGTTGGTCAAGGGCTACCAAAAAATCAACAAGTTCAGCGACGTGCTCGCCTACTTTTGCACACGCCAGTGGAATTTCAAAAACGGAAACATCCAGGCCCTTTGGAAGCGGATGAAAAAGCAGGACAAGGAGCTTTTCGAGTTCAGCATGGGCGATTTCAACTGGGACATGTATTTTTATACCTACACCAGAGGTGCGAGGGTGTATCTACTGAAAGATCCTTTGGACACCATCCCCAAAGGCGCTGTGAAATACTACAAACTTATGGTGGCCCATTATGCGCTGCTGACGGTGCTGTGTATTTTGATGTTCAAGCTGTGGATGGTAGTGCTAGGTTGTTTTTTTGAGTTCTGACGATTTTTTTAAAAGAAGGTATACATTATTTGCTAAATTGTACGTATCAGACTTCAAGTAAAATATCATCAAGTGTGGAGGTAGTTAATAAAGTTACTTGTTTAATTTAATTAAATTTAATTTAGTTAAACAGAACAGTATTTAAATGTCAAATTTTTCAAATGTACCTATGCCTATGCCTTCATCATCTTCAAAGGAAGCGAATTAATATCTAAAATAGACGAATCTATAAATTTTTGTAATAGTTATTATGGATATATGTAATATGAATGTAAAAAATAAGTTTATTTACAATAACCATAAAAACTGATAGGGGAATGTAATTTTATTTATTACTACTATTACTACTTATTATATTTTACTGAGTGTAATATTTGTTTATATCTTAGAGCATATACCATATGGAGGAGGCACCAGGTGTTAAAAAGTGTAGACTTTGTATAGAGAAATGGCGATAGTATCCGCTCTCCCTCTCTAATCGTTGAGGAAGAGTGTGGAGAGAGAAAGAAGTACCCAAACTATATCTTTCTCTTTCTCTGTCGCTCGTCTACACTGTCGCCGTAAACGTACTTAATCCATGTCGTACATGTTCTAGGGTTTATACATATATGATGTATCCAATCGTATTTAAATATTAAAAAAATGTATATAGTTTAACTGTATATAGTTATTTTTACTATTTGTATGTATTTATAAGGAGTAATTTATGTCGTAATTATACTTTTTAAGATTGAATAAATCGAAAAGCAGTGGTAAAACATTATTGTCTCCAGTTGAAGAGCACGGGGGAAAAGGAGGAATGTCACATTTACATGTTTGTTCAGAATAAGCTTTTTAAACTTTGCAACTGTGTACATATTTGTTATTTAAATATATAAAGTTTTTAATTTCAAAATTACCTTAAAAAATCTATGATTAAAACAATCATGAAGTAATGTTCGCAAATATTTTATTTTAGTAAAAAAAAATATGTTGAATAAGTAACAAACTCACAAAATACGACTGAAAACGGTGGAATGTCACAAAAAATTTATTAACATACAACTGAAAAATGGGGAATGTCCAAAGAAAGGTAGGTCAGTCGTTACAAAACATAAGAATATTCTTACAAATAATTTGCTATATCTAATCAGTCATGATATTGGTTAGAAAAGGGCAATTGGGTATAATAATCTTATGCTGCAGATGAACAAATGCTCTTGTAAGTTTTTGTATTTCTCTTTATGGGTAGAAGATCTAGACGACGGCAATTATTTATTAATAAAAATAGTATGATTGTTTATTATCTTTATATTATCTAAATATTTACGTTGTACGTATACCACGTGATATGGACATTCACCGTTTTTCCCTTGGAAGATATGGACAGTCCTCGTTTTTTCAAAGTATATACTCGTATACAGGGTGGGCCACCTGGAACGCCTCGGTCGCTAGTGACCAAACGGCAAATGTTACAGAAACCTGTTTAGGTGGGTATGTGTAGGTTAATTATGGTTATTTTAAAATTATTTTGAGATATACAGGGTGTCCAGGAAAAGCGTACCATATCAAAGTTATGTTTTTTAAATGGAACACCCTGTATTTTACTGCATTTTTGAAAGTACCGTAAAAAAATAGGTGAACTTTATTAAAGGTTCTGCATACCTAGGACTTATAGTTTGTGAGATATTTCAATTTTAGTGAAAATGCAAGCATAACGTAGAAATTTAATATCAGCAATAAAAAAATAATTTTAAGGAAGCAGCTTTGGAGGGTCTATTTTAGATGCTTGAAGTTATAAATTGTTATATTTGTCGTCACTTAGTATTATACAGGGTGTTCAAAAAACTGCTGAATACTTCTCTCAACTTTAAACAGCAATAACTTGGTTATTTTAAATGGAACACCCAGTATATTTTTACTTTGGGAGTTGGGAAATTTAAAACTCTTTCAAACTGTGTATAGGTTCCCTATAGCTATCTCTAACGGTATTGGAGATATTTGTGCCGTTTCGTTTTTTATCGATGTTTATAAGGCAAACACATATTATTTTAAAGATATCTATCTACCCTCGAAGTTTCCTGCATAAAATTCGGACCACCCTGTATACCTACATAGAAAGAAATAATAAAATAAATAAGATATTCAAATTTGCACCCATTTTTTTTAAAAATATTACCATTTTTCGTCAGATTTACTTAAACAGATTTAAAAATTAAATTTGAGTAAATGTTGAAAAATAGTTTACATTCAAAATACGTAGCACGTAGCATAATGGTAAAATTGAAATATTATTATAACAACATTCAAAGAATCCAAATCATAGATCATTTCCACAAGTCATGAAAAATATAACATACCTAGTACAGGCGATAGAGATAGAGCATTCGGGGCATTTGTATTTGAAGTAATCTATTTTGTTGGACAGAAAAATCCCAAATATTAGAATTCGATATTCCAAAACAATCATTGCTAAATTCAGGAGAACTACAAACATACAAAAAGAAGGAAAAATTACCCATTTTTCGACATATTTTTCCCTGTAACATTGAAAGTAAGAACTAAATACAAAAAAGTAATTTTTTATTTTTTTGTTTATTTGACGATTTTCTATAAAGTTACAACTGCGATTTTGCAACAATGGGCGAAGAATAGTAGAAAATCGTATGTATATTTGGAGCACTTTTTAAAATAAGTAAATATTTATAAAGATTGATAAAACTTTGTGAACAAATAGTAAAACATGTCAGTTCTACCCTAAAAATTGTGCAACGATCGATTAAAAAATACTTATTTTTACACTTCTATAACCATTTACAATTTTTTTTTTAATTTAAGTAATAATAATTTATAGCTCGTGAAATCGAGAAAAAAAATTGTTTTTATTGCTAACTTTCAATATCCGTTTAGTGCATTTTCGACAGATAAAAGTTTAATGAAAGAAGAATCAAGAAAGGTACCGTGGTTACTGGAATTTCTCGGCAGAGGTGATGACTGAGAGCTGCGTTGCCGCGCGCTGCCTGGGTTTCAAAATGCGTATGTGCGATAAAAGATGACAGTAGAGTGCTGTCGTATTTGGCTAATACATAGTTTTTATGTGTGCAAGATTTTGTCGATTGCATAGGAAATTCCATGGGCAATAAATAATTGTTTATTTTAAAATGTTGAATTTAAAAAAAATTCTAAATGGTTATAAAAATGTAAAAATAGATATTTTTAGTATTATTGATCATTGTTTATTATGACAAGTATCTCTAAAAAAATGTGTGCCCTTTCTAACATTAATTTAAACCCACGCCCACGGTACGCGATAAACTTTTTGAAATTTGTTTAATTAACAATCCTGCCAATCGAAAACCACGCGATCGATCGTTGCAAAATTTTTAGGATAGAATTGACATAATGTTTTACTCTTTATTCACAAAGTTTCATAAATATTTATTTATATTTACTTATTTTAAAAATTGCTCCAAATATACATATGATTTTCTTCAAATTGTCGCCCATTGTTAATGCAAAATTCAACTTTTTTTATTAGCACTTGTTGTAACTTTATAGAAAATCGCCAAATAAACAAAAAATAAAGAATGACTTTCTTTGATTTAGAGCTTACTTTCAATGCTACAGGGAAAATATGTCGAAAAACGGGTAATTTTTCGTTCTTTTTGTATGTGTGTTGTTCCCCTGAATTTAGCAATGGTTTTTTGGAATAGAGCTTGTACTTGCTCTAAGGAATAGGCAAACTCGGATTCTTATTCTACATAATATTTGGGATTTTTCTGTACAACAATATAGATGACTTCAAACACAAACGCCAAAGCCTACTTTTACTGCTCTATCGCCTGGACTAACACGTAAATCAGTGTAAATAAGTTAACGAATGTTTAGTACTTTTCTCATAATTTAAAAAATTGTTTGAGCATAGATAGACGAAAATTTTCACCTTCATTATTTTAACACCAATTAATTTCTCACAAGAACAACTAAACAGGTATCAACAATATTTTTTAAATGTTTATAAGTGTGATTTCCGTGATATGATGAGCATCCCCTATTTTTAGACACAGCAGAATCTAGGAACTGCTTATTATACTTTATCATTGTCTTTATCTATTTTATGCCCCCAGCATTAAACCAACTTATCATTTTCTTTGATAAACGTTATAATGAACAGCTCAATTTGCAAAATAGCATAATTCTGAATATCACTATATACCTAGTGGCGTATCGCAAACCGAAATATGTGAGGCGGGAGCTTTATTTGCTGACTTAAATGTTGGTTATCAGAAAATATAAAATAAGTATATTATATTCTACTTAATACAAAAAAATGTGGGGATCAGGTCCCTGTACCTACTCTCCCTATTCCTGCACATCCGCATCAAAAATTAACTGTCCAGTATAACCTCAAATTGTTCTGAAATTGTTTCAATTTTTTTTTTCTTAAAGATTAATTGACAACTGGACAAAGAGAGATCACTTTGCAAATTGCAAATAAATTGGTGGTCATTGTACTAAATAAGTTCGGTAGGTAACCTACTTATTTTGTATACATTTTGAAAAACTTGAAGCAGTTTTAACTATTTACCTACCTATTGAAAATAATTAAAGGGATAGGTAGGTATATGTCCAATTTGCATAAGTATCTGTTTATAAAAATGAAATTTTGCACTATTTATAGTGTCTAAATATGTACTAATTTTTCCTTTGTTATAATTGATAACAGTAAGTAGGTACTCACTTGTACATTTTCACAGGTTGTATTATCACTGTATTAGTATAACTCAACATTTGCAGTTAAAACTGTCGAAACTGAAACCATAAAACTTTTATTTCATTAACAAATAGTCTACAAAAGTTACAATTACAGTAATAATAACACTTTTTAAAACTAAAAGGGCTCCCCCTGGCTTGCATTAGGGAAACTAGGTTAGAGAACGATTATTATTGGTTAAGAAGCAGATGGCGTGTTCGCAATAAAATTTAATAATGGTATCACTATTTTGCCTTGAATATACATAAAACTGATTTTTTAAGTATACATGCAATTTATTGTATTAAAGTCTTATTTAATTTTAGTAATATTTGAAATCGAAATTATAATTTGCGTTATATAATTATACTATTATGAATTGTTTGAGCTGTATGTTGTGTTGCCTATACGCATACATTGCGACGACTGAAATAGAAAATGTAATACTTATAAATGTAAAAAAAACAAACGTTTAAAATATTTAATCTAGGGAACTTTAATATATTTTGCTCATATCTCTGAGAATAACATGAATATAGACAGCATGGTATGTACCTATATGTGTTCAGTGTTCAGAACTACTCAAATAATGTCAACTTTGGTTGTCAAAGGTGACATATTTTACATTGCATTATATATACAGGGTAGTCCTTAAGTATGATCCGATAAAAGAGTGTGATTATTTAAATTATTTTAAAGAAAAATAATTTCTTATGAACTTGATTGAATTTCGCCAACTAACGCCTACTTCACAAGGTACTCAATATTTTTTATCTGGTTTTAAAATTATCCGTAACTGGTCCTAATATCAGACCTATTACCTATTCTTTTTAAATGATAAATAATAACGTGATATATATTACAAATTATGGAAGGTAGGTTAACAAAATTTAAAAAAATGTCATGTTTAACTTTAAGGATATTTGTGTTTTGAGAATGAAAACAGAGGGATATTTTCGAATCGTCAACTTGTTATAGTGATTAATGATTAGTGGAGAAACGTTATTTACTTCCTCGGTGTGATCTTTCTGATTGGGCAACACTAAACTTATATAATCAACCCCTTGACTCATCCTTTTAGTGCAAGAGGTTGTTTATAGAAGTATAATTAAAT